TTCTCCTTCTCCTTCTCCTTCTCCTTCTTCTTCTTCTCCTCCTCCTCCTCCTCCTCCTCCTCGTTCTCTTTTACAGAAGTAATATCAGAAGTGTCTGATATTAACACAGTTGAGAAAGTCCAGAAATATTTCACTCCTCTACTCATTGCAGAATACCTTATGCCACCAGACTTGAAATTCTAGACCTAGAAAACCTAGAACTATGCCGCCTTCGGTCTGATCTAAGTTTGGTATATAAAATCATACATTGCAATGTCCTACCTGTCAATGAATACTTCAGCTTCAACCATAACAACACAAGAGCACCCAATAGATACAAACTCAAGGTTAACAGCACCAAACTTGATTGCAGGAAATACGACTTCAGCAACAGAGTGGTCAATGTCTGGAATACTCTACCTGACTCTGTGGTTTCTTCCCCAAACCCCAAAAACTTTAACCTTAGACTGTCTACTATTGACCTCACCCCTTTCCTAAGAGGTCTGTAGGGGGCGTGCATAAGCGCACCAACGTGCCTACCGTCCCTGTCCTATTGTTTCTTTAATTTTTTTTTAATTTTTCTTATATGTATCCATGTATTCATAACTATGTTTTTACTTATACCTATTATCTTTTAAGCAATTGACAAAAATAAATAAACAAACAAACAAACAAATAAATAAAAGAAGTGATTATAAGAGAGAAGGAGATTCCTTTCCTTGTTGGCACCTCCACTTATGGAATTCCCTCCCTGAAAGGTTCCACTGCACTAGTATTATTTTAATGGTAGGTGAAGATCTTGTTATTTTCTCATTTTAATCCTATTTTAATTCATATTGCTCTAGATTTTGCTGACCACCTTGCAGCTGTCCAGTTTCCATAGTGTATGTTTATTCCTCCTTTTTATTTTTCATGTATAAGTCAAGGCAACGAAAATACTTACTAATCCTTCCTCCTTTATTTTATTTTATTATGGTAATTTGTTTTGTTTTCTTATTTTATTTTCTTAATTTATTTGATTTGAGAAAATTTATCTGTGTGGTCCTTAAGATTCAACAATGAATTGATGGCACCTAATCCATCCACTTTTTAAAAAAGAATAAAATAACAGAAAGACCTGAGGGGCCATTGATGAGGGAATCTCGAGGGTTGAATTGAATGAACAAAAATTAGAGGACAATACAGAAGTACAAAAATATTGACACTTGGCCCAAGATATCTTCAGGGCTGGCACTCAACTGTACATTTAATGGTGGGATCTCCAATTTGGCTTAAGTAAGTATCAAGGTACTTACGAAATGCTTCACATCTTTCAACTTTTGATTATTATTTTATTTTAAAAAATTGACTTAATTTAAAAACAAAACAAAAAAGGAAGCTACAAGCAAAAAACTAATTTCCCAAAGTATCTTAATTACCAAAGATGCCTCCAATCATATACTGGTTCCATAAATATTATTTGTTAATCAGTTTATTTATTTAAAGACAGAGAACAGCTATGGCACAGGGCTGTAAATATGATTGGGATTATATATTTTTGAGGTAAGGGTATTTGCAGTGTGTGGAAAAAAATAATCAAAATGCGGCCATGATTATGCAACCAAAGCTCTGCCTTATATGTAGAAAACAAGAGAGTGTCAATCCCAGCCTTGTGGTTTTTGTGACAAACACTTTCTCTTGTTTTGAGTGGGGATGAGGGGCATGCAAGAACATGAGAAGTTATAAACCAATATAAAGGGGATTGGCCTCACTCTACATTTGGTCCAACCATGCAACCAGTTTCTTTGTTATATTTCCTTGCTTGCCACCAATCCAGACGTGGTATTCAGCAGGTTCTGATCAGTTCTGGGGAACCGGTAGCGGAAATTTTGAGTAGTTCGGAATACTGGCCAATGCTACCTCTGACTGGCCCCGCCCCCATCTATTCTCTGCCTCCCGAGTCCCAGCTGATTGGCTGGGTCTTCTTTGGTTGCCCTGCCCAGGAGAATGGAGCTGGAAAGCAGGTTAGTGAGGTGGGGAGGCAATGGGGATTTTGTATTAACTTTCCCCCAGGAGTGGGGAGGGAATGCAGATTTTACAGTATCCTTTCCCTGCCATGCCCACCACGCTACGCCCAACAAGCTACGCCACGCCCAACAAGCCACACCTCACAGAACCGGTAGTAATTTTTTTTGAATCCCACCACTGCACCAATCATGTCAAAAACTGAGAAGATGGTTTAGGACAGAGGTGGGGAACGATGGCCCCTTCATGACTTGTGGACTTCAATTCCCATGGCTGGCTCAGGAATTCTGGGAGTTGAAGTCCACAAGTCATAAAAAGGGCCATCGTTCCCCATCCCTTCTTCAGAAGACTGGATCATCAAACTCAAAGTTCTCTGAGATTCGGGGCAAACTTCAGATTTAGTTAGATTAGTTTTTATCCAGCTCCTTGCAACAAGTCAGGTGCAAAACCAATTGAAGATGGAAAATATACTGCAAGAGTGACTTATGAACTGCTTTCCTGCCTCAGCCATGGTTTATTTTACTAAGCCGCTCTACAATAAGAAAGTAAACCTCCTTACTTGCTATCTCTCCTTTCTCCTTTCCTACTTCTACATTTATTTACTTTTTTGTTCTGTTGGCTAAGTCGTCCTTAATTAGAGACAGAACCAGAATTGTAATTGCTGGTTTGAATATATGTCACCCAGCGTCACTTTGTGTGAGATGGATGGCCATTTAAATTTGGCAAATAAATAAAGGATAAAATTGCATTTTTAAAAAGTCTGCAATTATCGTCTCTCTTCCAGCCTTCTGTCTTCACATGACTTGTAGTGACCCCAATTAAATAAGTTCAATTTTTGCCAAGGGTGTGGTGGACTTTAAACTGCAGTCCTTTCTGTTAATTCCCTGAACTTGATTAATAAAAAATAATTCGAATAATGACAGTATGGATGGAAAAACCTCTAATCCTTCCAATGTACAATTTTCTCTTTTGATGATAACCAGGGACTGTTAGCTTTAGTTTCTTTGAAATTTCTCAAGCACCAGGGAAAATCAGTACCCTTCGCGGGAAGTTAAAAAAGATCATGGAGAAAGGCAATGGCAATTTATTAAATATTTACTTCATTTATTCAACTTATGTAGCTGCCCATCTCACATATGTGACTGTGGGTGGCTCAGAATTAAATAAAGCAATAAGCACAAGCAAATAAACAGCCAAAACAAACAAAATCATTAAAAGGCAATTAAAACAATGGAAAACCATTAAACGTAAAATTTCCTTTTGCATTGTTCTCAAGTTTAGGGATGTATATTGTATTGAAACAGTTTTTTTTTTTCAAACTGTGTTCTGCAGAATCTTAAAATTCTCTTAAACTTGAGGGAGTTCACATTCCTCAGTCTGGAAAAAAATTGAAAACTCTGCCCTAAAAACAACCAAAACTGAACTCAGTTCAGAAGAGATGTTATATTCAGATAAGAGTCATGGTAGATTAGCTAGGTAAAGATCATCGCAGGTACATTTTCTAAATGTAAAGTAAATTAAGGCTGGTGCAAATCTGTGTAATCCCAAAACTTGTGATGGAAATCAGATTGGGGATTTATTTATTTATCATATGCCATCAAATCCTTAAAACTTAATGACCACATTGGTAGATTTTCTTCATTATAATCTGTCCCTCACCTTGTCTTTCATGTCTTCCAAAGGACCATCCATTGGCACTGTACCTGAGTCCATTTACCTGGATGTTGGGAAGTCTTCTTCTTTTTTCCTTCACTTTTGGCAGGATCAGGAACTTCTCTAGAGAGCTGGGTCTTTGTATTATGTGTCTGAAGTAGGAAATTTGAGCCCTGGCCATGTGTGCCTTGAGTGAGAATTCTGTGTTGATTTGTTTGAGGATTCGTCCGTTTGTTTTCTTGGTTGTCTGCGGTATCCTCAGAAGTCTTCTTGTGTCAATTCTCTTCCTATTCTGCTTCTTCGAAATCCAAAGTTTGTTTCTGTGGAATATCACAGGGAATACCGTGGCTTTCAGGATTCTGACATTTGTAGGTATAGATACACCATAGCCAGTGATGGCATTCAAATTTTTTTACTAGCGGTTCTGTGGGCGTGGCTTGATGTGTGTGGCATGGCTTGGTGGTCGTGGCAGGGGAAGGATACTGCAAAATCCCCATTCCCTCCCCACCCCACTAACCTGCTTTCCAGCTCTGTTCTCCTGTGCAGGGCAACCAAAGAAGACCCAGTCGATCAGTTGGGACTCGGGAGGCAGATAATAGATGGGGGCAGGGCCAGTCAGAGGTGGTATTCTCAACTACTCAGAATTTCCACTACCGGTTCTCCAAACTACTCAAAATTTCTGCTACCGGTTCTCCAGAACTAGTCAGAACCTGCTAAATACCACCTCTGACCATGGCATTTGAATATCTCTCCCAAGGCTTTCATGACTGCTTAGTCTATATAGCATATTTCTTGATTGCTTGTTTCTTTTCTGTTGAAAGACAGGGAAAACTTAGCCTAAAACTTCCCTATTTTCAGAATAGAAAGAAAAATGGGAAGGATTAAGACGAGAATCTAATTTTTAGGTATCTGCCAAGTGATATTCTTTCAGGCACTGATCAAGCATAGATCCTTCCTTCCTTCCTTCCTTCCTTCCTTCCTTCCTTCCTTCCTTCC